GGGGTGAAGTTATTTGTAACTTTTCCATTTATGTGGAATTTAATGCTTGAAATTATGAATAATTAGATTAGATTGACAGGTAGCATGCGCATCAGAGCTAGCGCTAGCAGCTAGCTCCAGGGAAAGCCTCAGACTGGGCTTCACGTTAATACATGTTCGGCCATTTCGACTCTCTGAACTTAGTTGTGTCCTCTGTATGTTATTGTTTGGATCTTAATAAAGGATTTATTTGGACAAAAAGGGCAAGCTGTGGTGTTGACTGCACTAACAGATCATCCAAGAAGTCAGCTTTATTTCACTGGTTGAATGGGGGGAAATGCTATGCATTTAACATGACTCTGCTTGGTCAATATGGGTTGAAATATGACATGTTAGTGGGGCTGGCTGGATGCCAAAACTCAAGCTAGGTAAGCTGGGGCTTTGGGGCTTTGCTGGTCCACCGTGGTTAAAGATCTTTGAGGTCACCATTGCAGAATGGAGGTTTGCAGAGTTACGGTAACGTGCCTCTCCCTTTAACAGCACCGGCCCTGCGATCAGAGATCTGTAATGGGCCATTCCCATCTGTACCGGGTCCGCCCGGGCCGGGTAGCCCCAGTCGGCCCCAGCCTGGCCCGGTTGATTCCACACATCCTTGTCTTAAGCCCATGTGGGCTGATTCTACCCACCAATCAGAGGCTTGCTCTAATGGAAGGTGTGAATTTGCTGTCAGCAGTGGGTGTGTTGGCCCTGGTCGGCCTGAAGCAGACCCCCTCGAGAGGAGGGCTGAGAATGAGTCTTGGTTGGCCCGGAAAAATACCAGGCCACCCATATATGTAAACAACCTACGCTACCCGGCCCGGGCAGACCCGGTACAGATGGGAATGGCCCATCAATCTGCCACTTTATCCTTGTGGAGGCAGCCCAGCGAGGCAGTTACCCGGCCTCTCTTGTCTCTCGGCCGGGAATAACTGCTACACGCAAGCAGCCTGTCACGGTCTGGGGGTGTCATCTTTGATTTACTTTTTGAGCTTCCTTTCCTCTGCAGGTGGGCGTGTCCGGTTGTGGGGAAGTTGCTAGCAGCTGCAAGCAATCCACTCATCACCTGCCAGGGGATATTTAAGCACCTGAGAGGCGGCTTCACTTTGCTGGATGATTAACTCTACTTGGGTACTCAACTAACAGCCGAACAACTTGTATCTCCTAGTGATTTGACTTTTATCTGGATTTTGAGCTCTTCATGATTTTTGACCACTTGTCTTCCTACCTTTTCACCCAGACATCCTGTTACAATAACTACCTGGTCAACCTGCCATTCGCCTCTCAGCGTCCTCCCATGGTCTCCCCCACGCCGGCTCCCCACCTTCCTCCTGGATCTCCTGCTCAATAATTGCTCAGCTCCCTCCTCGCCTGGACTCTCAGCTTCCTCTAACTCAGTAAGCCATCTGCTTCACCCCCAGACCAGACAACCAACCTCTCCCGAACATTCTAACTGAACCTTCAGACCGTAAGTCTTAACTGATCCATTATTCCCATTTTTCTGCAACCAGTCCTGACATTTTTTCGTCCTTCAGACTCCCCCCACCGGATCCCAGCAGTCCAGCCTGACATTTTGTTCCTGCCATTTCTCCTTTATAATAAATCATTATTTAACTCTAATTCTGACTTGTGGATTGATTCTGTATGTCGTGGGTTAGGCATATACCACCGACCATGACACAGCCACACGCTGCCGTCTTCCAAGCGGGCGGAGACGCGCCGCCACCTGGCTTCCATGCAAGGCTGTAGTTGTGCTGGTTGTCTTTGGAGCTCTCAGAGGAAGATTACAGAAAAACCACAGCTCTTTGAGTTGATGTTGCTTCACTTTGAAGTCGTTCAACTGCGTCTTTATCACTAAAAATGCCCGAAAACCTCTGTTAGCTTTGGGTTAGCGTGTAGCTAATCTCCCACTGATCTCTGAATGTGGCAGAGCATGACCTCAGGTAAGCGACTAGGGAGCGTGACTCCGATCCCAGCGATCTGAGGCTCTGCTTGTATTTCAACTGTCCATATCAGTAAGTAGTAAGTAACTGGTATTTATGTAGCACACAACAAAGACATACAATCACAAAGTGCACATTAGAGCTCCACAAGCAACCAGCACAACAACAGCCTCGCATGGAGGCCGGCGGTCGGCCGCCCCGAAGCTTCGTCTCTTAACTTCAGGGGTTAACATGCAGGTTTCATGCTAGTAGCTACATTGGTTCATCTGCTCCCACCCACAGCTTTACCTCTTTTCCCATTTTTGGATTGTCTGGGTGTGACGAGATGTGTGGCACTGTCAAAATGGCATTTTGGGGAATTGATGCATAAAGGGAGAACTGGACGGCACTACGTCCAGTACCTATGTCTGGGGTCTAAATATACAGCAGCTGCTGGCCCAAAGGGTTATGCACAATATGATATTTAATAACCTGCATGTTGAGCTGCATTAGCACCTTTACAGCAGACTCAAATAGATACAAGCTTTCAGAATCTTATTTTGGCAGATCTTTCATCCCCGCTGCAGTAAGAGTGTATAACTCCTCAGTTTAAGTGTTATTGGCAATTTCCTTGTACACAATAACACCAATGCAATATTCATTATGTGTTCAACACTCGTGCAATACCAGACTTACACTGCATGTCTGTGTCTCTGCAGTATGCTGCATAGTGTTGGAACCTGAGTTTTTTCTTTTTTATTCGTGGTTTTTGGTGATCAAAGGTTACAACACTAGACTACTGCCAATGTGTATAAATGCATGTACCTTTATTAGTATTTATCTTAAAAGTATTCCCTTAAGTGTTGGTGCTGCTGTAACAAGTGTATTTCCCCACTGTGGGATCAATAAAGTCTATTCTATTCTAAACAAAAGTTTGCTCAAATTCAGATTAAATCCTCAGACAAGTGATTCATGTTCACATTGGCTCTTTAACACTCTTTACTGTTTACCTGCTTAAACACTTCAGTCACATGAGAATCCATCATTTGTTTTAACCTAAGGTAGTCCAGAGGAGGAAATGAGTGGTGTGTGTGTGTGTGTGTGTGTGTGTGTGCGTGCGTGCGTGTGTGTGCGTACGTTTGTGTGTGTATGTTTGTGTGTGTGTGTGTGTGTGTGTGTTAGTGTGTATGTGTGTGTGTGTGTGCGTGTGTGCATGTGTGTGTGTGCGTGTGTGTGTGTGTGTGCGTGCGTGTGTGCGCGCGTGTGTGTGTTAGTGTGTATGTGTGTGTGAAACTCGTGTTTGTGAGCCTTTTGGGGGTTTCTACTTTTTACTTAAGAGCAATATTTACTAAGCAGTCCCAGGGTGAGATTACCTCATATTCTACCGCCCAGCTGTGCTTTCTCAGCATCTCCATGACAACCAGAGGAATGTGCTGTCACCTCCTTCTGCCTGCCAGGATAAACGAAAGTGAGACAGAGATAAAGATGGAGAAGACACTCTGATCGTGGAGTATTTAAAGGAGGCACTCTTCCCTCACAACTGACATCAGACTCAGGAGATGTTTGTAAATCTGCTGGACAGCCCAGTGGGTCTTATCTGGATCAGAGCTGTTTACGACAACGTAGCTTATCCCTGTTTTATGCTGGTGTGCTGCCATACAGTTGTGCAGAAAATCACCGGTCATTCTTCTCTGCTGAACTCACAGGTACATTCCTGTTAAGATAAAAAGACAAAAATCTGAGCCCTCAGTCTAACAAGGCTTAGATGCCTGAATATAACTGTGAGTCTCCAAACAAGACACTGTGAAATGTTTTAAGACCCAGTTCACTCTTTTTTCTCAACACATCTACAGTGGTCTAGTATAAATGAATGCCTTGTGAGTTGATCTTTGTGGGGAAAAAAAGCTCTGGTGATCCTCGTTCAGGACCCAGAAGTGAGCCACAGCACAGCTGAGCTTGAGACGACGGGATTTGGAGTGTTATTTCCTGACACTCTGACATCTCTCCTCTGATTGGCTAACAGCAACACGACTCTCCCACTGACTCTGTTTGCTCTGCAACATACCTTCTCAATGGCCTAGTGGTATGAGTGTCTGCTCTCTGGGAGATCGGGGTTCAAATCCTGGTTGGGTCATTCCAAAGAACTTAACAAAAAGGACCCAGTGTGTCTCCACTTGACCTTCAGCTTTAAGGGGTTGGATTGGGGGATTAAACCAACAAATAGTTCCCGAGCACAGCCACTGCTGCAGCTCACCACGCCCCTTGAGGATGGGTCAAATGCAGGGATGCACTTCACCAGCTTGTGATGACTAATGGGAATTTTTTTGGGTTTCATCTCCACAAATAACACAAGCCTGAAGGAGTTCTGCTGTGTGGTGGAGTTGCTATGCTAACAGTTAGCTTCTTATAGTTGAGAATTTCTCTGCTTTTGCCCGGACATAAAAACAATAACAACCTTCCTCTTGTGAGCCAAGATGAGCCCATGAATGTTAACTTATTACTTAACATTTATGGACTCACCAATCTTGGCACACGGGGAAGGCTGTTGTTGGTTTAGCGTCCAGGAAACAGCAGAGACTGTCTCGACTAGTAGAAGCTAACCATTAGCATTAGCAACTCCATAACACTTTCAGGCTTGGGGTATTTGTGGAGACAAAACATCATCATTGCAATGCAAACTGCACAAACAGATCATCCAAGAAGTCTGTCAGATTGCGTTGCTGCTAGCCAATCAGTGGCAAGATGTTCAAATATCAGGAAATACATGGCCAAGTCCTGTCGTGTGAAGTTCTCTTCTGATGTGGCAATTTTCTAGTTCCTGAAACAGGTGCATTGATTTTTTTCTACAGAGAATTACTTAAAAGGCAGATGCACAATTTTACTAACTAGTCATTAAAACGTATTTCTAATAAAATATAAGCAATTTAAACTGTCCAGTTTTTAATCTAAGTTCAGAAGATTGTGCTTTCTGCTGTTTAGGATCACCCCTCTGCACGTGCACATGTACACACACCATTTTCTTTTACTATTTTGTCACAATTATTTTCCTTTTTTTTAAATAAATTCTACTGATTTAGACAATTTAGCAGATTTTCAGCTGCAATTCAGTTCGCAGTGTTTTCAGCAGTCAGCATACAAACAGCATTTCTGCAACCAATGCAAGTCATGTAGTTATTATTATGATTGTTATTATTATTAATTACTTACTGTCGTTTTTCTGAAAAACATTTTGATCGTTGTGGTTATTAAAACGAATATTTTCAGCTGTGTTTGTGTAATTACGGTTTATTTATGGACGTGGATTCAAAACTTAAACTTTAACTTTCTCTGCCTCCTAAAAATTAGAAATGAAAAACATTTTTTGGTGGTAATTCATGAGGAGTTTTTTTAAGTTATTAGATGTATTTTTGAACTAGACCTAAAAATTGAACATTAGAATATTATCTTATTATAAACTTCTATAATTATAACCGACTTCAACAATAACAATATCCCCTGTCCAAAACGACATGTACACCATTATTAAACCTAACGTTGTAATGTAATGACCACCAGCTTTCTCAGCAGTCTCTGCAGTGTGGACATTGTCCACATCACCATGGTAATGGAGAGATATTTGCTTTGATTTGCAACAGAAAAGCTTGTGGTGACTGTTGGAGAATGTTCTGTTTAGTCTTCTCTCGGCCACTTTAAGTGTTAAAAGTGTCATTATTTAGCCTCTGAGGCCGAATGGGAGAACGCAAACAAGACTGTGACCTTCTGTCAAGAGCCTCGGCTCCTCTGGAGCTCATTAGGTCCTCCTAGAGGACAGCGCATCAATAGGCCGGAGGCTCCGGCTCGTTCCCGGCCCTTTTGAGACTCTAAGTCCAGCACCTGACCAATGACGGAGGAACAGGTTTGATTTGAAGCTTGAATTGTGTCGCGCTGTGCGGTACTGTTGGTGACTTATTACAACAGCAAGAGAGCCGCTTGGACCTGAGCCAAAGAGGATCTCTCCCTGTGGCGGCTGACCGGATCTGGAGGAATTCCTGGCTGAGCAGAGCTATAAAAGTGACCTCTCTGCGCATCTTCAGATGAAAACCGACCATGGCTGTGCCAAACCACCTGCAGGACTCCATGTTAATACACGTTGCTGGTGAGATTAACCTGATTGAGTTTCCTCCAAAGTATGCAGCAGGACCAAAGGAGCAGGTGGAAAATGCTCCATCTTGTCCAAACTCACAGACGCGCATAAAGGACACATCCTGGAGCAGAGAGCTGGCGGATAGAGCGCGCGCTGATAGCCTGATGATGGCCTCGCCGAGGTTACACAGCCGTGGGAGCCACACCAAATCCAAACGGAGGAGGATCATAACCGGCGTTCAGCGACAGGCGGCCAACGTGCGTGAGAGGAAGCGGATGTTCAGTCTGAACGAGGCGTTTGATGAACTCAGGAGGAAAGTTCCCACATTCGCTTATGAGAAGCGGCTGTCCCGGATCGAGACGCTGCGCCTGGCCATAATCTACATCTCCTTCATGAAGGACCTGCTGGAGAACACCTGACATGCTTCAGGGGAAATATTTCATCTGCATATCTGCTGTAAAATTCAAATGATAAGAAAGGGAATAGCCAAACGGTAATGTGGGTGTGGCGGTTCTCTTTATTTTTGGTTCATTTTCCTATTGACATCAACAATTTCGTTGTTATTATTAATGAAACAGCGAACAACTTAACAATACTAAAAATATCTCATTTATTATGTCAAATGTTTACTAAAATAAAAGAAACATTTAGGCAGAATTCACTATTGTGCTCCTATCAGTTTTTGTAAAGCAACTACAGAGACTTGCTTCTTCATATTTATGAATTCAGTCCAAACTGGATGCGCGCTCAGGTTGCTTCAGCACCTTGGACAGCTACACGTGTCCACCTGTCTCACCTGGCCTGCTGCAGACGTGCAGCCGGCAAGGCTTTAAAATCTTTGATGCTTTAGTTTAGCTAAAAGTGGGTAAAAAGGGAAAAGAAAAGCTTAAATAACGATAACAGCTAATGCATGGCGCGGATTTGCATCGCTAATTCAAATATCTCAGTGTGAATCTGCGACTTCATCTTTGGCACTGAGGTGTAAATTAAAGAAGAAATTCGATACGTATCCTGGTTGATTGCTTACAGGGTTTAAGCTTGAGAAGAAGTTCTGGTTCATGTAAAGTAAATACAGCACGTGCACACCACAAACACCTTTAAGCGTTGTCCGAAGGTGCATTATAAATTTATGACACACAAACCTTTACGGTTATATTTGTTTTATTTCTCTCCTCTCAGACCACCTTTATCCAGCATTTGCTTAGTGCGTCTGTGCGCCCTGGGCGAGCCCTCGCTCTGTGCCCGCTGTGCGCGCGGATCCGCCCTCGCAGCTCCCTGGGATGGCATGGATCGTCCTTTAAACCTGAGCCGCGGAGCCGAGATCCCTGCGGGGAGTCACACACATTTAAGTGCATACCTCAACTGACGGGAAAATAAACACATGGGCCTGTTTAAACCTCCTGCAGGGAGAACCTCGTGGGTTTCCGTAGGTCAGATGTTTTTAACAAATCCCACTTTAAGCTCTCAAACCTGCAAACTTTGGTTGCAGTTGGTTTCCTTTCAGTAAATACACGATGAAATCAGACTTGACAAGTGATGACTCCCTTCACAAAACACATAAACAGGCAAAGCCAAATTGATGTTTATGAACCAGCATGAAACTTTTTAATTAACTTGAGAGCTATAAAGCAGAAGAAAGGAACATGGAAAACAACGTTCATTTGCTTGGTTTGCGTTCCAAAAGTCACATTACGAAATTTTGAGCCAGAATTCATGGGAAGACAGAAAAGACCCCACTTTTGCACAGACTACATGCTTTAATAACACCAGCCCAGCCGCATCCACTCCTAGAACTTGCATGTTTTCAAAAGTGTTCCCGAGTCTCCTTCTCTTGTAGTGTTATGTTACACCCCTCCTCACCCAATCACAGAATCCTTCCCAAAATCCTCCTGCGCGCGCCCTACTATAAGAGTTCGGGTCCTCCCTGCCTGGCAGACACCTCTCCCTCTCTGATGCGCAACAGATTTCCCAATCCATCCCCTCACCCAGAGCAGGCCGCACTCCTCACTGCCTGTCTGTTGATGTTGTGACCACCTGTGTGGATTTTGCTCACTGCAAAGAAAGACGGATTTTTCTAAAGACAATGAGGCAAAACGACTCCACCCCGATGGACAGCGCTGGGAACAGTGACGAGGAGAGCGACCGTCAGCTGCCACGGAGAGGCGCGAGGAAAAGGAGGGCAGCGCGGAGGAGCACGGACGACGAGGAGGAGGGGGATTTGGAAAGCCCCAGTCCAGGCAAGAAGAAATGCAGAAAGAGCTCCAACGGAGGAGGAGGAGGCAGCGCCGGAAGCGGAGGCAGCGAGGCCAGCAGCAGTCCCGCTCTCTCCTTCGAAGACCTGCAGACGCAACGCGTCATGGCTAACATCCGTGAGCGGCAGCGGACGCAGTCCCTGAACGAAGCGTTCACGTCGCTACGCAAAATCATCCCCACCCTTCCGTCTGACAAGCTCAGCAAGATTCAGACGCTGAAGCTGGCGGCCCGGTACATCGACTTCCTGTGCCAGGTTCTGCAGAGCGACGAGCTGGACGCGCGGGGAAGCAGCTGCAACTACGTGGCGCACGACAGACTGAGCTATGCCTTCTCAGTCTGGAGGATGGGGGGTGCGTGGTCCTTGTCAACAACGTCCCACTAACTGGAACAGTGATGATGGTGATGGGACTGCAGGGTAAGACACTTTTATTGTCCAACCTACAGGAACTATAGGTGTGCCAAAATGACTATGCGCATTTTACGCGCAGCATCCAGATGGAAAATCAAATTGACTTTATTTGGGTTGAACATTTAAATGGTACCTAGTTAAAGAGTAAACCTCGCCTCTGCAAAACTTTTTTTCCATGATGATCCCATAACCTCAGTCCATTACATTTCACCCTAATAACTGTGTTGCTGCTGATTTTCTTATCCAGAATGTTCTTTCTTTCACAGACTTCCCAGAATGAAGAGCCAGTGGACCAGGCCAACTCTTCAAAAGATGCCAAAAACAGCTGAATCCCAGGTTCAGCTGTTTTGCTCCAGGCCTCGGAGGAAAGTTTTTATATTTCTCCTTGCGTGGACTGTAAAGGGAGCATTTAGGACGGATATGAAGAAAGACAGAGAGACCACTGCGACTATGAATGTTGTAAAAACAAAACGAGCCCTGATGAACTGCTCTGTTTTGAAACATGAGAGAAAAATGTCAATCCAATCCACATTTCGTGTGACAGTTTCACAGAAAATGAAGCGTGTTGTATTTATTTTTCTATGCAGGTATGAAATCCCTTCACCCCTTTTTCTCAAATAAAAGTAATTTATTTTGAAGGATTTTACCGTGTGTGTGTGTGTGTGTGTGTGTGTGTGTGTGTATGTGTGTGTGTGTGTGTGTGTGTGTGTGTGTGTGTGTGTGTGTGTGTGTGTGTGTGTGTGTGTGTGTGTGTGTGTGTGTGTGTGTGCGTGTGTGTGTGTGTCTTTTTAAACTTTAACACTCTGGAGTAGGGTTGTCACGGTATGAAAATTTAACCTCACGGTTATTGTGACCAAAATTATCACGGTTTTCGGTATTATCGCGGTATTTTTTAAACGGTGTTGCATATGTTCAGAAAGCATTGATAGTCCTGTTCTACACAAACTGAAATAGTTCTGAAAAGGTTTAACAGTGTTTATTAAACCTAAAATAACACAAAGCCTTAGCAAAAGTGCAACTTTTCACAAGTAAAGGAACAAATAGCTTATTTTTCTGGAACTTGTTACAGTAGTCAGTGCAGGTTTAAATTATACAAATCCAAACATTCAAAACATAAACAATATGTAAACAAATCAAAGAAACACCACTTGTTTTCTCATATACTTGTTTTCTTCATTATCAAAATGAAAATCTAAAACTCCAGTCCACACTTGACTTGAGCACTGTACAAGTCAACCTTAAAAAATATGTATTTAAAATAAATATCCACTTTAAACAAATTACTAAAATAACTACTACACTATGTAATCAAATCCAAATGTTCAAGTATAAATGGCATTGAATAAGTAAACAAATCCATGACAAGGAACTAATTGTATATTTCTCTTCATCATCAACAAATAAGATGCTTCATCCAGCAACAGGGTGTCCGTGACACGGTTTAAATGCTGGCAGAGGACGCTGTGGCTGCAGTATATAGTGACTCGTTGCATTCTCCCTCAACCAAAAGTCCTCACGTCATGCATTTAAGCTAAAATGCTAATGTTAACTTACCTTGCACTGGCTGTGGAGACGTGGGTGATCGTCACGCAGATGTGCCATTAGATTCGAAGTGTTGCTGCCTTTTGCAGACACTTGTTTCCTGCACGTTCTGCAAACGGGATAGCCGTCTTCTATTAACTGTCCCTCAGCATTTTTCAGAAATCCCAAATATGCCCATACTTCCGATTTAGTCTTCTTTGAGGGCTGATGGATGTCCTGGGCGCTGCCGTCGCCTCCTTCGGCCATTATTTCAGCTTCAAAGTTTTGGTGCCGTTGCAAATTAAAAAGTGCGTGTGCGCGCAGCGGGAACTTCAGCTGAAGCGACGGTGGCTGGTAAGGGTCATCGCGCCGAAACCGCGGCCACGGTAAACCCACCGAGATAATATAGTTTTTTTAAAAACTGGACGGTTATTTTTATTGTCAACTTTTTTACCGGGGTTTACCGCTATACCGGTTACCGTGACAACCCTACTCTGGAGGCAGGCGTTGCAGGTTTGCAACGTTAAAACCTACCTACCTGGTTACTCCACGTACGAATTTCATGAGAATTTTTTTAACTCAGAAGTACCCCTGAAGGACTTAGTTGTTCATCCTTTTATCAAAACTTATTTTGAGCCTGAGAGGGTTAAATTCAACAGCAGGAGTTTGGTATAAATAACAACAAATGACTTTGTTCTGATCTGGTCAGCCTGTGCATTTCGTTTTCAATGGTTGTTATTGAAGTTCTACTAAATGGAGTAAAAGAAAACACCTCACACCAGTAGCACATTCAGCGGTATAATTTCATGATTTGGGGGATCTGGCAGAATTTGGAGATTTGGAAGATGTTCTCCAAGGCAGCAAGCCAGCACGAGAGTTGCCTGCAGGTGCTACAGCAACTAAACCACAGGAGATCTGACAAGTAAATGGGATGGGTAGGGGTCATGATGCAAACTGGTTGGATGTTGTGCAATTCCAACATAAAAATTAAAATTCGAGAATATAGTAACATGAAAGCAATTCCATTCAGTTTAAGTGAAAAATCACAACAAAATCATCTTAATGTTTTTCACAAAGTAAACATTCCAACTGAACCTACTTATCAGTGAACTGCATCACTGCACCTGGTGGTAAGGTGTTTCCTGTTTTCAGTGTTGCACTACGTGTAGCTGTTCGCTCGCTAAAACTGATTTAATTTCTCTGTACTAGGATATCTCTGAGTTATTGTAGCACATAAGCACGCAAAAACACACATTTTCTGTTGTTCCACCTAGCTTTTAGGGAACCATTTGAGTTTGCACGCAGTTTATTTGGTGTTGAACAGTTTGCTCGTCCAGTTAGCTTAGCCTCAGCACGGCTATGGCTACTTCTGTCTCTGCTTCTCCGTCTCGCTCTCTGTGTCAGATGTTGTTACTCCTCTTCCTCCTTTAGCGATAATGGTACGTGTAATAAATGTAGCATTTTTGCAGCTTTGGAGGCGAGGGTGTCGGAATTGGAGTCACGGCTCTGCGCTGTTGAAAAACCCGTAAACAGCCGTAGCAACTTAGCTAACGCGGGGCTAACTAGCTTAGAACAACCCTGTAGCAATCCTCCAGCAGAACCTGAGCAGCCGGGACCTCAGGCCGGCTGGGTGATGGTACGCAGGAAGCATAGAACCCAGCCCGTGGACCACCACCAACCCGTCCACGTTTCTAATAGATTTTCCCCGCTCAGTGACGCACCCACTGATAAGCCGACTCTGATCATTGGCAGCTCCATAGTCAGAAACGTGGCATTAGAGACTCCAGCAACCATAGTTAAATGTTTACCTGGGGCCAGAGCGGGCGACATTAAATCTTACCTGGGATTTTTTACAAGTAAAATTAATTCTATTAGAAACAAAATCTTTAGCATCCTCCCTAATGCGATTTCTTCTTCCTCAGTAAGTGAGGCAGCATCAGAGGTGACTGTAGAACCTCATCTGTGCTTGAACCATTTTGATCCAGTTGAACTTTCAGAGTTATCAAAAATATTAGTGTCACGATCTGCCCCTGCCTTCCTGACTGTGTCTCTTTCCTGCCCTGATTAGTCCTTATTGTTCTCACCTGCCCCTCGTTAACCTGCCCATGTGTTCCTAATTTTCCCTGTGTATTTATACCTCCCTCCTTGTACCAGTCTTCGTCAGATCATTGTATGTGCATGTGCTTGTTTTGTCCTGTCGCTCCCGTTCCACCATTAAAACCATTTTTATTTTTCATCCGTGCCTGCTCTCCTGCCTCCTGAACTCTCCACCACACATTGTCTACCATCTCCACTCCTCCCAACATGACAGAATGATCCGACCAACCTGGACCTGTGGTGAGCGCTACATTCTGTTCTGGAGGATTATTTTTCTCTTTTTATCCCGTTTCAGCAGAGGGAGAATTCGGCCTGGAGTTTAGTTTTTCGGTGCATCCTACCTGTTCTCGGGGTGGTCGAACCCTCTGGGAGATCCTGGCGCATCCTATCTGTTTTTGGGGTGGTCGGGGTCATTCTCCTCTCCTGCTGTTGTGCCCCATCCTGGTTTTCACGGAAGCTGCTGTTTCCTGGAGCTTTTTGATGGAGGTAAAACCCCCTATGCACGCCAGCGTAATTCGGAGTGGTAGGGCTGGTCTTCCTGCTCCATATCTGCTTCCCTTCACCCGAGCCTCTGCCTGTGGATCCAGTCGAGTCGTGATGTGCACCTGTTCACCGTTGTTGAGTACCTGCTGCCGTTCCTGGTTTCCTTGCGTCGCTCCTGCTGTTCTTCCTTCTACCTGGTCCACACCTGCTGGGTCTATGCCTGCAGGTCCTCCATGCTGCGGTCTCTGCTGGGTCCCACGCCTGCTGCTGCAGTCTCTGCTGGGTCCCACACCTGCTGCTGCAGTCTCTGCTGGGTTCCACGCCTGCTCCTGCAGTCTCTACTGGGTCCCACGCCTGGCTGCTGCAGTTTTCGTGTTCCTGTGTCAAGTCAAAGAGTTCCTGTGTCCCGAGTCAAAGAGTCCCTGTGTCCCGAGTCAAAGAGTCCCTGTGTCCCGAGTCAAAGAGTCCCTGTGTCCCGAGTCAAAGAGTCCCTGTGTCCCGAGTCAAAGAGTCCCTGTGTCCCGAGTCAAAGAGTCCCTGTGTCCCGAGTCAAAGAGTCCCTGTGTCCCGAGTCAAAGAGTTCCTGTGTCCCGAGTCAAAGATTTCCTGTGTCCCGAGTCAAAGATTTCCTGTGTCCCGAGTCAAAGAGTCCCTGTGTCCCGAGTCAAAGAGTCCCTGTGTCCCGAGTCAAAGAGTCCCTGTGTCCCGAGTCAAAGAGTCCCTGTGTCCCGAGTCAAAGAGTCCCTGTGTCCCGAGTCAAAGAGTCCCTGTGTCCCGAGTCAAAGAGTCCCTGTGTCCCGAGTCAAAGAGCTCCTGTGTCCCGAGTCAAAGATTTCCTGTGTCCCGAGTCAAAGATTTCCTGTGTCCCGAGTCAAAGAGTTCCTGTGTCCCGAGTCAAAGAGTAACTATGTCAAAGAGAAACTATGTAAGCCAGAGTTGTGCCGCCTAACCGAGAGGCCTCTGCTCTGCAACCCTGGACTGAGTCAAGTGTTCCTGTTCCCGTGTCTCGTGTTTCCTGTGTCCCCGAGTCCAGTGTTCTGGTGTTCCCTAGTCTCCTGTGTTATGTGGCCTTGTGGGCGTCTGGTATCCGCCCCTCGGGGGGGGGGGGGGGGGGGGGAGACTGTCACGATCTGCCCTTCCTGACTGTGTCTCTCTCCTGCCCTGATTAGTCCTTATTGTTCTCACCTGCCCCTCGTTAACCTGCCCATGTGTTCCTAGTTTTCCCTGTGTATTTATACCTCCCTCCTTGTACCAGTCTTCGTCGGATCATTGTATGTGCATGTGCTTGTTTTGTCCTGTCGCTCCAGTTCCACCATTAAAACCATTTTTATTTTTCATCCATGCCTGCTCTCCTGCCTCCTGAACTCTCCACCACACATGGTCTACCATCTCCACTCCTCCCAACATGACAATTAGCTTCATCCAAACCTTCAACTTGCATTTCGCATCCAATCCCAAAAAAATTATTTAAAGAAGCATTTCCTTTGGTTACTGCCCCCATTCTAGATATAATCAATCTATCCTTAGTAAATGGATATGT